GCAACTTGGCGAGACCTCATCTCTACAATAAATCAAAATAAGCCGGGCGTGGTAGCGCACGCCTGTAATTCCAGCTACTTGGAAGGCTGAGGCAGAAGGATCACCGGCGCGCAGCAGGCAAGGCTCCTGTCTGGGCAACAGAGTGAGACTCCAACTCAAAAAAATGAAATAAATAAATAAATAAAAAATAATAATAATGTTTGTACATATATAAAGTAAAAAACCTGGAAAGATCAACAGTGGTTACCTCTGGGATATAAGATTATGGAAGCTTTCTCCTTTTGTGCCTGTAATCCATGTAATATTTGAATTTTTTTTTTTTTTTTGAGTTGGAGTCTCACTCTGTTGCCCAGACTGGAGTGCAGTGGCCACTCCCGGCCACCGCAGCCTCGACCTGCTGGGCTCCGGCAATCCTTCTGCCTCAGCCTTCCACGTAGCTGGAACTACAGGCGTGCGCTATCACGCCCGGCTAATTTTTTGATTTATTGTAGAGATGAGGTCTCGCCAAGTTGCCCAGGCGGGTCTTGAACCCGCGGGCTCAGGCAATCCACTCACCTCGGCCTCCCAAAGTGCTGGGATTACAGGCTGAGCCACCGGCCCCGGCTAATATTTGAATTTTTATAAAAAAGAACATATTAAGCTTATCATAACAAAAACAAAAATAAAACAAAACAAAAAAAACACCAAAATGTACTGGCAAATCCTTTGGGACTGAAATGAACATGCAGGATTTTAAACCATCTTATGACAGTTGCACCTGAAGCAGATGCTCCCCACGGGCCATCTCAGGAAACAGCAGCCCCAGAGGCTGGCAAGGTGACCAACCAGGGGTGAATCAGGATGTATCTGCACAGCCACACCAGCAGCAAACCCTGCTGATCCGCCCAAGGTACATCAAGGGGGAGTGTGGAAGGAAACCACAGGAAACAGCCTATCCCCACCCCAGGCAAGGCCAAGGCAGGGAAGTGAAGGGGACATCAAAGGGACATCAAAGCTTTGTTTAAGGAGACTCTGACAACAAGGGTAAGGCGCAGTGTCTGCCACAGACTCCCATCAGTCTCAGTAGAGAACAGTGGCCTAAGACAGGATCTGCAAACACCACCGGTGTCCACCACATGATCCCCTCACTCCATAGTTACAGAATGACAACTTTATTTAAAATTGCATCTTGTGGACACTATGAAGGTGGGCAGGACATGGTGCTTAGTGGGCCTTGTCTAGCCCAGGAGACTGAACAAAGACAGAGCCAGTAAGTGTTCTCACAGCAGACGGATAGAGGGTCATGGGACACAGCGGAGGGAGAGACCTATTCTGAAAGGCAATCCAAAAAGGATTCTTCAGGGAAAAAAACAGCCGGCATCAGGCCTTGTTGCATAAGCTCCCCCAACATGCTAAGAGGCGAAGACATGCTACAAAGACCCAAACAGAGCCTGGTCACTAAGCCCTGGTCACTGAGCCCCAGGGACCCAGGCAGTCCACTTCATGCCTGTGCTCCTCTTCAGCCCAGTACCAGGCCTCTGCTGTCCCCTGGTGGCAGCATGGTGCATACCAGATCCAGGGTCTTGGTCACCCTCAGGTTGTCATCTGATTGGCCGCTCTGCACAAGTAGGAGTCATAGCTGATCCACAGCCTGCCATCTGAGATCGCCCTATCAGCAGCCCTATCTCATGGCCTCTGATGTCTCCTGGTTCTTTTCTTCACTCCACCCCAACCAGATCCATGGACAAGGGTGAGGGGCCCTTCATCTGACAGAAAGAGCAATCTTCTGCGCAGATTGGCGCAGAAGCATGTGGCTTGGCAAGGAGGAGGCCTCTTGCACAAAGGGAACAGGCCAGCATATGTGCAGAGTAAGACTACCAGATGAGGTCCTGGTTCTGCACATGGGGCCCATGTCCAAGCTTCCTGCCCACAACTTCCCACATGCTAGTTTTTATACCACTATGAGGCCTTGTGGCCTGGCCCGAAACTCTGCATGCTCCGGTATCCCCCATGCCCTAGCTCTGGTGTCTTGTCCTCCAGTGCTGGGAGTACCTCATTTCTTTCTCTCACAGTCGAGCGTCCCATAGAGATAGAGGAGGAAGTTAGTTCCATAGCTAACGCAGATGCCAGACCCTCTAGCCACCCCAGGAACCATCCCCGCCCCACGGCAGGCCGTGCAGCAGCTCTTGGGAGGACGGAGGTCCTGGGGATGCAGCATGGTGGGCAGCCTGTTTTCCTGACACCCCAGTGCCTCCCACCTCCCAGAAGCTGCCTGCTCTGGATACGCCCAGGTCCCTCCACCCACCCATCCAGGCCCCCAGACCATACCTGCAGCAAGGCCAGGTCCGCATCCTGGGCTAGCTGCTGCAGGTTCTTCACAGCAGACGTGGTCTTGATCACCCGCACCAGGGCAGGAGAGCAGTCGATGGGGAGCTCACCCAGCAAGGACTTCTCGTCACTGAGCAGCAGCAGGGCATGGTATGGGCTGTAAAACAGAGTCACCCATCACGGGGCGTGTGGGGAGAAAAGGTCGAGGGAAGGATGAGAGGGAAGGGCAGTGGGTAGGGGCCTTTACACAATCTGTAAGGATTGCTGTCAGAAAAAATTAGGACAAAATTGGAGAAGGCTAGAAGATCAGAATCCATATCCCACCTCTGGGGTGACCCAGCAAACGCTTGCTGATGGAAGAAATGAATTTTCCTTGTGAGGACCAAAAGGAGACCCTAATTCTACCTGTATGATGTCCACATGTATCCCTAATCCTGAATTTTACCTCACATCTTTAAAAAAAATATTTTTTAGAATGAGTTTTCCTAAGGAGATAGTCCCAAATATGAGACAAGCAAAATCCCTTCAGTCAAGATTCCCTCACAGTCTGTTCCACAGAATATGAAAAGAACTATACAAAAATATGCTTACCAAGGAAGACTGGGAGGAAAGACATCTGACTTGGCTCACAGACTAGGGGAGGGTGGGAGGACTGGGTGCACTTTGCTTTCTGTCATTTCCAAATTTCCAGAATGTGCCCAGATATGTTTTTTCAATTAAAAAATATTCAAGGAAACTTGGGACTTGGCAGTGGGGTGGGGGGGGGTTGTTGCCAGAAGATTGGCCTCAGCTGTATCCTTTTAAGAATCAACTAAGCCAGGCTTGGTGGCTCAGCCTGTAATCCTGCACCTTTGGGAGGCTGAGGTGAGTGGATTGCCTGAGCCCGTGGGTTCAAGACCTGCCTGGGCAACTTGGCGAGACCTCATCTCTATGATAAATCAAAAATTAGCTGGGCATGGTAGCGCGCGCCTATAGTTCCAGCTACTTGGAAAGCGAGGTGGAAGGATCACCAGAGCCCAGCATGTCAAGGCTGCGGTGGCCAGGAGCGGCCACTGCACTCCAGTCTGGGCAACAGAGTGAGACTCCAACTCAAAAAAAAAAAAAAGAAATCAATTAAGACATTAACCGAGGGTCCCACAAGTTCTGGAATTTAAATGCAAAAGATCCAGGGGCAATACCATGAAGATGAGGTCCTTCTAGTGGTCCGGCTCTTCCCCAGGCCACTCAGACCCAGACTGCCCTACCCAGGTCTAAGGTGAGAGCCTTGGCAGGGAGCCCCACTCACCCAGACAGTGCTGGGAAGGCCTAGGGGAAACATGAGATTGGTCATTTCTGGACATAATTGTGTATAAAAGCATATGTTTTGTATATAGTTTCCATAAACAGCAGAGCCCTACCTGCCAACTTCTGCAGCAAGAAAAGGAAAACAGACTTTTTGGAACAAAGTAAATGGTAAAGTCTCAGATAGAAGCTAAAGGGAAGGGCCCTGGCAAGGAGTGTGCATGCAGGGACTGACACTCACCGGATGGCTTTCAGGCTCTGCTCGATGGCCTCAGGGGGGATCAGGCTCGAAGCTGCATAGTGGATCTTGTGAGGCAGGCAAAAGCTCACCTCCAGCCAGCTGTTGATATGGAGACGCACCACACCAGACGTGCACAGGCTACAGAGAGTGGGCACTGTTACCGCAGGCACCATCCACCCGTTCACATCCTGCAGTGCCCATGTTCCTCTGACCTCACTTCCTGCACCCAGTCACTCAGGTCCACCTGTCCTCAGGACCCTGGCACTTTCCCTCAGCCACAGGCTCTCTCCACAGATGCCCAGGGCTCCTTGCTCCATCAGGCTCAATTCAAGCGCTACATTCTCAATGAGGCATTCTCTAACCCTGGCCCCACCGGCACTCCAACTCCTCATTCTGTGCACACTTGTCCCAAGCACTTGACCACAGGATGCTCCTTGTCTGCTTCCTAATGCTGTCCCCCCCAGCCAGAACACATTCTTAAGGAGGGGTCTTGTGGGTTTTGTTCCCTGTTCACCGCACATTTGGTAAAGCATCAGGCACACAGTGGGTACGGAGAAGCATTTCATGAATGGAGGGAAAAAAGGGGCCAAGGGAAACACTGCCCTCTCTGGGGACACTATCTTTTCCAGGAAGCCTCTGCCCAGAGAACAGTTTCCACACTGGGCATGTGGCCCCATGTCATTTCCTAGGGGAACCACACAGAAGGAGGAAGGGGATGCTTCCAGTAGAAGGTTCTGAACACCCAGGGAAAAGCCAGCTTCTCCACCCTGCCCCACAGCTCACTGCACAGGCTGCTCACTAAGAGCCAACAGCACTTGGTGTATGGCACAGGAAAGCAACTGCTTGAGCAAAGCTCCCTGTGGCTGTTCCTCACTGCATCCCCAGGGCTCCAGGCACCAGGTGTGGGATCTCTACCCCTGATGTCATGGCTTGGCCACGCTGACCCAGCCAGGCTGATAAGAGCAGAGGGGCAGGCACCCTCCTACATCCTACACAGAGAACACAGAGCTTCATGATATCACCAGTTCTACAACAGAAGCAAAACACACATCAGCTCTTCTCCAAACTGTTCATTTCTACAGTACCTCCCCCATCATGTTTCCTCTGCTCACTGTTCCCACTACCAAGGAGCGTAGCCAAGTGGCGTTTTTCCCATCACCCCTGACCCAGCTCAGCTATTCCCAGCTCCCAGTTGGCAGGACAGGCTGACACACCCACATCCGGTAAAGGGTGGGGAAGGGGGGAACGGGACAGCTCCAGGAGGCCGGGTCAGACTTCCGCCTGCCTCAGGCCAGAAGGTACAAACAGCCCCTCAGTCCTCTCTCTGGGACACAAGAGTGTGGGATGAGAGAGACTGTCCTGACAGGCTGCCTCATAGTCCTCGCTCCCAGCACCCACAGGTTATTCTTAGAGTCTTTTCCCTGAAGCCTCAAGCAACAGACCCAAGCTCTCCTTTTGGATCCCCCCAGAGGGCTAGCAGAGACTGTAGTCAGCAGTTTCAAATGCAGAAATAAGTCTTTATTCTCTCAAGCAGAAAACAGGCAGTGGGGAAGAGAAACCTGGGAAGAACATAAGACACATCTGTGACCCAAACTACCTGCTAGGATCCCTGCCAACTCCAGCTATCTGCAAAATACCCGCTGCCTGACCTTCCTTAGGGCACCCGGAAAACCCCTCCTGCTTTTTCCCAGGGCCTCAGCACCACTGAAGGGGCTCCAAGGAAGGGTGCAGGTGTAGGGGCTATGGGTTATGGCTGAGTCTGGAAGGCAAAGGTTCATCACTGCTGGTCTACAGTCCCTCAGGGTGAAACACATAAGAGGGCTTGGCGAGTGACAAGATTTGGGGGCAAAACCCAGAGTCCTTCTCCAAAGTCCCAGAGGAGGCCAACACTCTCAGCTTCTTCCAGAACTGAGTGCTAACCAAGTAAGACTCAGCAGGCAGTTCCCAGAACCTTACCTCTATTTGGTCAGAGTCTTTGCAGGGTAGAAAGCTCATGTCAAACTCTGAGAAACAGTCCAGCCTCTTAAGGAATCAAAGATCATACCATGTGAGATTTGCCCAGGGACCCAGGCTAGTTACTCAACTTGCCAGAGCAGTAGTTAAGACCTCAGCATCCCTATGTAGAAGGGAACAGAAAGGCAAGGGAGAGGCAGCTCCATGCACTGCTGCCACTGTGTCCATGGAAAACCACTGGCCAAGGATCTCCATTTAACTTTACACAAGGCCAGAAATGTGGACCACTGGAAAGAAAAGGTCTTTCTATTTTTGAGTAGTCCTATTTAGGACACAGTTCAAAGTGGCTGCTTAGAACACCACAGAATCAGAATTAATACTGAGACCCCCTATCATGTCAAATGTAGCTGTCTTTTCTCTGCCAAGGAGCATAGCGATGTCATGTGCACATCAACAACCACCTGAAGTGTGCTGTGTCTCTCAGTCCTGGGTCAGGCACTTGTTGGGGTACAACCGGGAAGAAAACAACTTACAGCCCTGAACCTGGGGGGCTCCCACTCAGCAGCATCGGGAGTCATCATTGTAAGCAAATTGTATGAAGCATTAGAAAGTGGAGAGAGTTCTAGGAAAAGGCACAAGTAGAGAAGGGTACAGGATGTGCACAGGAGAAAGAGTTTGGGAGAGGTCTCATGGAGAGCCAGGAACACATACTAGCTGTGGGTGTGATGGGACCTAGGAAGGAGGGGAGAGCACATTTAGGCTCTTATAGTGTCTGCCCAGCTTGGTCGTCTCTACTGTTCTCACCATGCTGGCTGGCCTTGGAGCTCCAGCCCACAGTCTGGTTTGCACACTGGCGTAGGGTCCTCTCCTCTAGGGGAGTCATGCTAAAATGTCCCAGTTTTCAGGGGGACCTACTCCACTCTCCTAAGCATCTGCTTACCTACCACCACCTTCTCCCTCTGAGCATTTGCACTGAGGCTGGTGCTGCTTCTTTATGAACCAATCTAGCTCCCCAGTGAGGTGACGACGCTGAGTGCTGCCACCAGGAGCACCCTGAGGACCAGCAGCAGACCTAGGTGACTCCCAAGAACATATCAAGGGATGGCTACACTAGGAATGTGCCTGCCCAACCTCTAGTCTCTAGCTCCCATGGAAGCCCTGCAAATCTCCCACACCAAGAGAGAAAGCCAGGAGCCATAACAAAGTCAAAAGGAGGGAAGAGAAAGCTTTGTTGCTGTTTTAAGACAAGGCCCCTCAGCAGAAAGGTTTGAGCCCTGGAAGGTTTCTTGCTAAGCTTGTACTTCTATTTGCAAAGTGTCTAATGGTTTGCTCTGAAAACATTCTGTAGGAAAACACTGTTCCCGTTTGAGGCTTATCCAGCCCCTTACACAGCTCTGGGCCAGCCGAAAGGGCCCAGCCCAGTCTGTGACAAGAGATAGACGCTGCTGCCAGAGCCCTGTGTCTTGATGATGACTATGTACAAGGCAGTGGCCGGCCTGTAAACACATGCATATCGTTTATTTTGGATGGCCATGTGTACAAGTTTATTTCACTCCCCTCACACTTCAGCATCTGAGAAGAATGCTAGTTCCTAACTCTTAGCTAGTAACAACCAGATAGAGACCTGTGAAACTGCTCTGTACACTTCTGCATTTTCTGGTTCCACACAGGGGCCAGGCTTCCCACATGTAGTGGAATGTGACATAACCTAAGAGATCTGGGAGGGCTTCAAAGGGCCTACCTTGAAATTTCAAATTAATACTTGTACACTGGTGCATTTTTATGAAAATAGGCACTATAGCTCTCAGGATACTCACAGAGGTATCCAGGGGTCCAACTCTGCTCTGAACAGTCAGCTGTGTAAGGCTGGACACCAAGTGCCACCTGCTCAGTGAGGCCCTAGATAGCACTTTCCAAGCTAAGTCTCCTAGACCCCACCACGGACCCTGTTAACTCAGAGAACCATTTAACAAATCACTTCTTCACACCCCATCGAATACACCATCATTATTTCCATCTGCACATTCCTTCAACCACCAGAAGACAAGCTGTGTTCCTCCACATGTGAGCATAAAGGCTGTGTACAGAAAGCGAAGGGACATCCCTGCCCTCCTGGGGACACAACCCAACAGGCACCCAAATAAGTGAGATACTGTCACTGAGGGTCACTGAGGTCACTGAGCTCCACATGGAGACGTAGGGGCTAGGATGTTTGGGGTGGCCTCCAATTCACACTCCTAGCCTATATTCACAGACACTCAGGTCCTGGGGGACAGGGCCATCAGGCTACCCAGCCACACCATACCCTGGCTTTAATTAAGATGGCAACTCAGAACAATTCCTTTGAAAAATCCCACCCCGATCTCCAACCTCCCTAAGCTTCTGGTCTTTCAATTATGCCCTGAGAAAATTCTCCCAGGGATCTGGCAGGAAGTCACTGTCAGGAGAAAGGGCTCTGTGTTCTATGCTACCTCATCAGTCTCCCCTTCTTAGTACAGAGGAGGGGTCCATCCTGCAGGAGCAGCAGCTGACCAGCCCTCAAGGCCAACCATGGACATGGTAGAATGAGAATATAGGGGAGACCACAGGTCAGAGAGGTTCCTGGGTGGCTGCAGAGCCATGCTGGTGCCAGAAGGGGCAGGTGCAGGGAGGACATCACTGCCTGGACTCCTGCCAGAGAAGCACAGCTCCCAGCATCATTCCAGAACACAGGACTGGTGGGGGTGGGATTCACCTGGAGGAAATGTGATCCTGAGCTGTAACAGGATCCCTGGGTTAGGGGAAGAATGCTAAGTGCTGAACAGCCTGGGAGCCTTTTTCTCCAAAAGCTCAGATTCCTGTCCTCTTCTAAACTAATGCCCACTAAGTGGCACTTGGCTTCCTTGAGCTGAGTGGCTCTGCAGGCCATAGGTCATGCTAATAGTCCAAGATTGCCTACCCTTCCAATTTTCCAACACAGTAGAAATATAAAATCCATGGTTGGATTTTTTTTTTTTAGAGAGACAGGGTCTCGTCATGTTGCCTGGACTGGACTTGAACTCCTGGACTCAAGCCATCCTCCCACCTCAGCCTTCTAAGTAGCTGGAATTTTAGGCACATGCTACCACACCCAGCTTGCTCTTAATTTTAATTCCAGGTTAGCCTGATTTTTACTTGCAATCTAATCATAGTTGAAGTATGCAGATTCCCACTCAGAATAAGGCAGCCATTTCAAGGAAGGGATCTCTGATATCAGTCAATTCAAGACCCCCTAATTCTCTCACCTCAAGAAAATGTCACTGTGATTACATGGAACACAGAGACAGGGTAGGACTACATAACCACAAAGGTCCCCTTCTGGGTAAGGATTAAGGCTGCACCAAGTTCACCAGAGCAAGAAGGGCCAGAAACCAAAGCAATCACTGGCACAGGGTGTTTCTGGCTGCTCTGATGTTCTCCACCACTTGAGAAGACTCAGACCCAGCTCACCAAGAAACAAATAAAATGCTAGTTGGAACTTACAACACAAAAGACAAATCTCCACCCTATATTAAGGGACCTATATTTCCCAACAGAAAAATGAATGCGGGATCTGAGCAGAGCGCTCACAGAAAAGAAAATACAGATGGTTCTAACAAGAGATGTATAAATGCTGGACTCAGGATACCATTGTTCACCTATTATATTGGTTAAAATCCAAAAGTTCACAAGACCCTGTGTTGACAAAGCTGAAAGAAAAAACATCTCTTGTGCTGCTGGTGGGAGTCAAGACAGAGCCACAAACATCTCAGAGGGAAACACAATACCACAAATTCATTTTACCCATTCATGATGCTTTTAGGAATTTACCTTATGGATACAGAGGCACACAGACAAAATAACATACGCAAATGGTCAGCAGCAGAAACCAAATGCAACTAATTCAATGGCCAAAGGGTAAGGGGCTAAATATGCAACCAAAAAAAGAATGAAAACATCCTTATTTAATAATACAGAGAGAAGTCTACACTGTACTGTTAAATCGTGAAAGCAAAGAACAAAATAGTATGTGTGGTATGCTGCTGTTGGGTACAGGAAAAGGAGGTCTGTGTGTGTCTGTGAGAGACAACAGGTGACACACGGCTGCCTTTTGGATCTGCTGTGGATGCTGGAGGAGGGACACACAACTCTCTGATTTTCAAGCTTAATATGTGACTTTTTCAAAAGTTAAAAAAAAAAGATGAAAATTTCTAAAATGTTCATAGTAATTATCACTGGGTATAGGATTATAGATGACTTTTATTTTCATTATACTATTCCAAATGTCTTAAACGTCTGTAATGCATGTGCACTGTTGGTGACATTTCGGAAAAAATTTTTAAATTATGTTTTAAGAAGGAAAGGATCCTGTGCAAAACCGTCACTGCTCACATCCACTGGGCCACGGATTCACCTTAAGGAGAATCCACAGGGAGGGGAGAGTCCACCAGGCCGGAGCGAAGCCCCAAGATGGCCCAGTAGGGGGCACTACGCACTTGGTAAAGGAGAATGTGGAAAGAAGAGAGAGACGAAAGAGGGAGAAGGAGGGTGAGACAGAAAGAGGCCCGCAATCACAGAGGAGGTTCAGAGGTACTACTAGGCCATGCCTGTGCCAAAGAGAAAGGCCTGCACTAAGTGTGCCATCCTCCCAGCAACGTGCCCAGTGCTGTGTGGCTCACTCAATGGGACAAGACACCGTGGGAATGGACATGCAGGGGCAGGGGCAGGAAAGGCAAGGCTGCCAGTTAGGCCCAGCAGCAGCTTCGGAGCCAAGGCTGGCACTAGGACATTGAAAGCAGTGATCAGATGGATGCCCTTAAAAAGAAAAGGGATTCTTTGCTTGTCCACACTTAACAGAGTTGACGCTCAGCCACCAACACAATCAGAACCATTGTGAGGTTTCCACAGTGTCCTCAACGCTTCCTGTACTCATACAAATTCCAATGCTTCATGTGCTGAGCCTCAGTTTCCTCATGCATGGGTGAAGTGGGTCAGTGACACCCACCTGATGAAGGCAGGTCCAGAACTTGGTGCAGTGTCATATTCAATATGTTTCTTTACGTTTGTTTGATGACTAAAAACACTTTCAGACTCTCAAGCATAACTTCAGGTTCATTTTCTGTCCTAAGAGAAGCCTGGAGGTGATGACTCCAGCAGAGTGTACACCACTCAGCAAAGGTGCTGGCATTTTTAAAAAGGCCACCAGCATCCCTTCTCTCAAGAGCAACCACAGAACTGTCCCTTCCCTGTCTTCTCTTGCCCCAATCTCATGGGAGCTCTGGAACGTGTACACCAGAGGAATGGTGTTCAACACAGGGCACCCCATCTGTGGATGCTCCTCAGGCCTTTAGGCCCAAGGAGGCTGGCCCAAAAGAAGGAGGCTCAGTGAGGATGCCCAGCTGTCTTACCTGTCATAAGCTTCCTTGAGGTCCCTGGCTAGCTTGCACTTGGGCAGGATGTGATGGAATGGGGACTGAGGACCTTCATTTCCTACAAGAATCACAACACAGAAGGATGTAGAGTTTCCAAAGCAAGGAAACTTTTATAGGCTACAACAGGGAATACTTTTTTTTTTTTTTTGAGTTGGGGGTTTTACCGTCACCCAGGCTGGAGTGCAGTGGCACAATTACAGCTCACAACAGCCTCAAACTCCTGGACTTAAGCAAACCTCCCATCTCAGTCTCCCGAGTTGCTGGGACTATAGGTATGAGCCACCACGCTCAGCTGATTTTTTTATTTTTTTGTAAAGACACAGTCTTGCTATGTTGCCTTGGGGGGGGTGAATATCCTTTTTTTAAAAAAGATGTGGGGTACAATTGAGGATTAGGTATATAAGTGGTCATCATATAGGTAAAGTTTAGGCCTCCCTTTGGTCCCCAGTCCATACTTTGCCTGGTTAGAGATAAGGTATCCTTATTGATGTTGTGTCCCCCTTACCCCCAAGGGGTGAAAACCTTTAAACACAAGTTTAACTTAAAAAGAATTTTAAGTAACTTTAAACCAAATGTCAGGTTTAAAGTTATAAAATCTGTGTATCCATTTGAACTAAAATTAGACTCAGGTTGATTTGTTCAACCATCTTTATACTGAATATTTGTATTTAAACTTCACGGCTACCTTCCCCAACCTTGTAGTCACAGGCATTGCAGAGCAAACTTTTTCAAGGGCCCCTCCCTGAAGGCTTCTTCCTCAGACCATCAGACCCTGTATTCTGTCTCAGTGTTCAGGTATTTCCATGCCATATCTCACTCCTCCCCGTCAAATGTGTAAGCTAATGCAATTTATTCTCATGATTGAAAAGTATTTTATTAATCTTTTCCACAAATTTCTAAAATATATATACTTAAATTGAATTTGTTTTACTTCCTATGATAAAGTTACAGACTCTAAAGAGAATGTTTAAAAAATTTTTTAGCCAGGCTCAGTGGCTCAGCCTGTAATCCCACGCCTTTGGGAGGCTGAGGTGAGTGGATTGCCTGAGCCTGCGGGTTTGAGACCCACCTGAGCAGCAAGACCTCATCTCTACAATAAATCAAAAAATCGGCCAGGCGTGGTAGCACGCGCCTGTAATTCCAGCTACTCGGAAGGCTGAGGCGGAAGGATCCCCGGAGCCCAGCAGGCGAGGCTGCAGTGGCCAGGAGCGGCCACTGCACTCCAGTCTGGGCGACCGAGTGAGACTCCAACTCAAAAAAAAAAAAAAAAAAATTTTTTTTAAAGTATAGATCACTGTCATAATTATTAGTACATAATTGGCTGAGACAGAAATATATTACACATTTTGATGGCTAATTATCAAACATAAGTAAACCTTTGCTGAAAATGCACCTGAGTCAGACAGGGATGTTCTTTTTTTTTTAATTGTTCATTCTTATATGACAATTGCTACTTTTACTTACTGCTAGAAAAACTCGGTCTGACTTCAGTTTTGTTCCTAGTTCTTTCTTTTGTTACGGAGGTGCTAATCAAAGAAAACAGAGGTGCACAATTTGTTACAGATGCCCTCCATGCTTTGAAATTATTTATGGTATGCCAAAAATCACACATATCTGGCAACAAAAATTTCTTGTAATAATTAGTTAGTTGATAACTTAATTAGGTCCTCCTTCAATATGGTTAAAAGCAAAGAACTGCCCCCCTCACCAGCTAGATATTTCTATCAGCCCTTCTCCGGGTCCTCCAGCCCCAGGGCAATGTGTCCAGGAGGACCAGGGCCAGGCACAGATGTCTGACCTATGTGAAGCGTGTTCATACAGCAGTCTGTGTAGGGAAGGACAACATTTTTGCTGGGAAATCAGTTTCTGCACATCTATGCAAGAAAGTGTATCGACAAATGTGCCCCTTGGGGAGACAAATGTGCCCCTTGAGGAGTGCCCCAGGGCACAATCAGTCCAGAGTGAAGATCACGTAACCTCTCTGAGCCTCAGATTCCACAACTGTAAATGGGGATGAGCATGGCTGTTGTGAGGTTAGGACTTCCTTTCCAATGTCCAGCTCACCAAAAGCTACAGCCAGCTCCTAAGTGGTCTGTTGGTGTTGGGGTGGGAGAGGACCCCCCAACATCTGCACCAACAACACTGACCAACAGCATCTCCACAGAAGTCCACACTACAGAAAGGGCATCAGCCAGCCCAGACCCATGCCTAGCACACCCACTGCACTCACCATCAGTCATGGCAGACACCTCGTCCTGGAGTGCCAGGATCAACTTGGCCTCCCGAGTGAGGTACTGGCAGCGGCGCTCCTCATGCTGCAGCACAGTGGCAATGCGTCGGGACAGGTTATGCAGACAGTTTATCACTGACGGGTCCGCATTGGCCTGCAAGACAGAGGCAATACAAGACTCATATGTGTGCACAGAGACACAACCGGACAGCTTAAATGGAGCTAAGACACATGCACAGCAGAAACTCAAACCATGAAAGAAAGCATTTGCACTCCTTTTCCCCAGACTCCTCTGCAAGGGCCACTGCTGCACCCTGTTTCCTAGATGCCCCCAGGGGCTATCCACAGACACACTGGCTGCCAGTCGCCATCTTCTGTTCTTAGGAACAGCCACCCAGATAGTAGCAGAGATTGTTCTGTGGGGATGTCATATGAGGACACAGGCATGTCCACTGTGCTGAGGCTGTACAGAAAGGCAGGATACAGCTGAGGGCACAGATCCTGCCCACCTACCTGCTGTGTGACCCTGGGTCCCAGGTACTAATTTCAGAAAGGACAACAATGATGCCTCCCTCACCAAGGACTGAGTGGAAGAAATTAGATACATAAAGCACTCAGAACAGAGCCTGCCTAGCAAAAACCCTGGAAATGTGTGTGATCATCACTATACTGCTAACTATTGGTGGACAGGACCAGCCTACAAAACATAAGAATTCAGTCACAACAGGCCCATCATTACAGAGGCATACAGTACAATAATAGAAGCACCATGCTAACTGTTCACTGAATACTTTCAGTACTCAATGATGAGAAGCTCTTCCCAATAGGAATGACACTGGTTAACAAGAGTATCAGCAGGCTCTAGGCCCCAGTCCCTCAGCACTCCTTCCACACCTGTTTTGACTGGGTCAAAGGAAAGCACAGGGGCACTCAGCAACAAGAGGGGCCCTCACCCCTCTGGAACCTATCAGTGACCACAGTCAGCAGGCAAGTGCATCTGCCCAAGCCTAGGGTGGGGCATGCAGCTATCGGGCCTTTGAAGAAAGGGAACAGATAACTGGGCCAACCATGACTTAGTGCTTCTGGAGGTCAACAGGGCTGCTGAGTCATCCTATAGGGGTGGAGGTGGGAGAAGGGAAAGGGATGCATGGTACTGCTGATTAGAACTTCTGGTGCTGCCTTCCCCTCCTGTTTATCTCACAGGCAGGGACATGCCCACAGGGTTCACTGTCAGACTTTAGAGCCAAAACCTGACCCAGACAATAAACACTCTCTTCACCTTCAGCTGGAGAGATTTTCTAGACTCTCAGCAGATCCTGTGTTCTCAAACAGAACTCACACCTGGGCGGGCTTACACCAAGGTAGTAAGTTTCACCAAGGAAATGACTGAACACTGCTCCCACATCATGTCTACCACTCTCCACATGAAGGACATCCTCTCAACAGTGTCCCCAGAACAAGGGGGCCAACTTACAGGGTGTATATAAAGGCCTCAAAACAAAAGACTCACTTAGAAAAACCTGTGTAAAAACACTCTCGGGGAGCAAAGGAGGGAGGAGGAAAATGATCCTGGACACATGACTATTTCCTTGAAGAAGCACTCAAGTCACACCTGAGAGCCTGACCCTCTGCTGGAGGACCCAGCAGCTGAGGCACAATAACAACTGGAAGTCACGTGTCAGGCCCTATCTACTTAACCTTTCTAGATGGGCAAGGTAGCGTATTACCCAGGCAAGGCTCAATAATCTGCACTGGCAGAGCGTCCTGGTATGTCCTGTTGGCACAGGCCTGACACTGAGTGAGGGACACACTGAGAAAGCTACCACCTAAGGTATGTCAACCCTAAAGGGTGCTCTTTTTTTTTTTTTTTTTTTTTTTTTTGAGTTGGAGTCTCACTCTGTTGCCCAGACTGGAGTGCAGTGGCCGCTCCCGGCCACCGCAGCCTTGACCTGCTGGGCTCCGGCGATCCTTCCGCCTCAGCCTTCCAAGTAGCTGGAATTACAGGCATGCGCTACCACGCCCAGCTGATTTTCTGAGTTATTGTAGAGATGAGTTCTCACTGCCCAGGCGGGTCTCGAACCCGCGGGCTCAGGCAATCCACTCACCTCAGCCTCCCACAGGCGCGGGATTACAGGCTGAGCCACCGAGCCCGGCTTAAAGGGTGCTCTTAAAGACAGTACACTTTGGCCACACATGATGTGAAGAAGCATGACATTTAGGGCATCACCCACAAGAATTTCTCACCCCAAACGTAATTGAGCCTTCCAAGTTAACTTCTAGCTTGCAGGAGATACAGGGTCAGAGAGCAATTCTGACTGCACATTGAGTCCAAACATGGAATTGTTGATGGGACAAAGGGAAGAGGGGAGCGTTCTGGACTGACAGAGATGTAAAGCACTGCATCCACTGGGTGGGCTGGGTTTGCATCCTGGTTCAGATAGTCCAACTGAGAAAAATGTTTTGACAATGCAAAAAAGTTTCAATGAACCAGGGACTAGTTGATAACTTATTATGGTGAATTTTGTCCGATGTAAAAAGAGTATCATAGCATAAAATAAATGCCCATATTTTATAGGGATGCCTTCTGAAGTATGTAGGGATAAACAGACATGAGGTCCAGGACCTGCCTTGAAATACAGAGAGGGGAGGAAACAAATGGAGCCAGGGTGCAAAGGCACCTGTGGGACCTGAGATAGGCACATGAGCCTTGTCAAACTGTTCTCTCTAGTTCAGGGTTTATTTAAAACTTTTCATAGTAAAAAAAAAAAAAAAACGTACATTTTTAAATGACTACTGAAAAGAAAGAAGAAAATCTGTCCACACTAACATAAAACTCTTTACATTATTATAATTTGTCCCATTCTTCAATGTCATGGCCAGCTGAAGTCCTATACTATCTTGTTTTCTGCTTTTACCTGGCAGTAATCAATCTACACTTCTCCAAATCCCCATTTTCCATCCTTAATGGCCATAGCATGGTCCAGTGTATAATAACAGTAACATTCTTTAGTCATTCCCCAACTCCTAAGCCCCAGGATTATTTACAGCTTAATTATCACTATAAACATCTTTATTCTAGCTGAGAAAAAGCCAGGAAAAAAAAAATCTGTATACAGTTGTAAAACCTGCCTGTTTTCTTGACAATATTCCTAATAGTGGGGCTGCTATGTCTTAAGGGCATCATGGCTCTGCTGTCAAGCACTGCTCCCCAGAGATGAGCTCCTGCCTGCAACAGCTCAGGTGGGGCCACAGCTGCTCTTACTGCCCACCCCACAGGGGTTATCGGTGCTGACAGGTGAACAGCATTTATCATGGATTTTGTTTATTCACTTGCTTATTTTTTACTTACTTTATTTCTCTTTGTGGCTCTTTGTATTATGTAATTATGAATACAAAAAAATGCAAACACTATGAAAATATATCAAGCAGAAAATGAAGATCTTTTCTTGGAACCTCATGCTCCAGGGACAGCCACCATTAACAAATCATTTTGTTTTTCTTTGTAGTTCTTTATTTATTAAAAACTAGGACAGTCTTTAAAAATTAAACTCTATTTAAAAGGTGCTTTTCTTCTAGCCTGGGCAACTTGGCGAGACCTCATCTCTACAATAAATCAAAAAATTAGCCAGCCATGTGCACCAGATGCAGCGGCTCATGCCTGAAGTTCCAGCTACTTGAAAAGCTTAGGCAGAAAGATCACCTGAGCCCAGCAGGTTCAGGCTGTGGTGGCCATGAGCATGCCACTGCACTCCAACCTGGGCGACACAGTGAGACTCCAACTCAAAAAAAAAACAAGACTGTTTTTCTTTATCATTATTTTGATTTTGAACCATTTACAGTGCGACCTATGGTCTCCACACCAAATAACCCTCAATGGAAAAAAAAACTTTGTGACTTAGAATTGTGTCTAATTTTGCAGGTTTCCATCCTCTGAAGGTTTTCAGAGCACACACTGCCCCTGTCACTGAGATCTTGTCACTTTCTGCACATAAGCCACTGTGCAGATCACGTGTGCCCAGCTAGGAAGAACTACTGAATTCTTTGGTGAATACAGATAGTAGAATATTTCAGAGGCATCCCATTATTTAACAATCACTGAAGTACAACTTTCCTAGGTGTTTCAAAGTCCCTTCAGAATATAAAGCAGTCCTTACCCAGGAATGTATTTTCTGTTTATTAGGATCACTCAAATTTTAATAGATTTACTGAAAAGGCATTTCCTGTAACTAGTAAAAACAACCTCAGGCAGAGCTGGGAATTGCCTTAAGAAACAACTAGGCTTAATCAACAAAATGGAAATTAACAAGTGTTGGTGAGGACATAAAGAAACTGGAATCCCCAAGCTTTGCTGGTGAGACTATAAAACAGGACAGCCTCTATGGAAAAGTTTAGCAGCTCCTCAAAATATTAAACACATAGTTACCATATGACTCAAAACTCTACTCCAAGGTATATATCTGAAAGAAATAAAAACATGTGCACCGGATGCAGTGGCTCATGCCTGTAATCCCAGCACTTTGGGAGGCAGAGGTGAGAGAATTGCCTGAGCCCAGGGGTTCAAGACCTGCCTGGTCAACTTGGCGAGATCTCGTCTTTACAATCAATCAAAAAACTGGCCAAGTGTGGTAGCATAGGCCTGCAGTCCCAGCTACTTGGAAGGCTAAGATAGAAGGATCACCTGAGCCCAGCAGGTAGAGGCTGCTGTGGCCATAAGCATGCCATTGCACACTAGCCTGGGTGACAGAGTGAGATTCCGAATTAAAAAAAAAAAGAAATAAAAACACACGTCCACACAAAGGTCCACAGCAGAACTGCTCACAGTAGCCAAAACAAGGAAACAACCCAATGTCCATCTACAAGTAAATGGATAAAGTGTGGTCTATTCATACAATGAAATATTATTTGGACATAAAAAAGAATAAAGTACTGATACATGCTACAACATGGATGAACCTCAAAACATGCTAAATGAAAGACAGACACCAAAGATCATATACTGTATGATGTCAGTTATATAAAACACACAGAATAATTAAGTCCACAGTGATAGAAAGCAAATTAGGGTAGCCGGACAAAGTAGCTCATGCCTGTAATCCTAGCACTTTGGGAGGCCGAGGGGAAAGGATTGCCTAAAGCCAGGGATTTGAAACCAGCCTGGGCAAAATGACAAGATCTCATCTTTACAATAAGTAAAAAAAAAAATTGGCTGGGCATGGTGGCATGCCTATAGTTCCAACCACTTGGAAGGCTGAGGCAGAAGGTTAGTCTGAGCCCAGAAGGTTGAGGGTAGCCATGATTGTGCCACTGCACTCCAGCCTGGGCAACAAAGCAAGACTCTGACTCAAAAAAAAAAAAAAAAGAAGAAGAAGAAAGTAGATTAGTGGTTTCCAGGGGTTGGAGGAAAAGGAGAGAATGGAGAATTACTGCTAATGGGTATGGGATTTCTTACTGGGGTGGTGAAAATGTTCTGGATCTAGATAGTGGTGATGGTTGCACATCATGAATGTACCAGAGACAACCAAACTGTACACTTTAAAATAATAACTGGCTGCACATAGTGACTCACACCTATAATCCTAACATTAGCAAGGTAGGAGGATTGCTTGAGCCAAGGAGTTTGAGCCCAGCCTGGGCAACATAGTGATACCTCATCTCTACAAACATAAAAAAAATAAGTCAGGTGTGGTGGTGCATATCTGTAATCTCAGCTACTCAGGAGGCTAAGGCAGAAGGATTGCTTGAGCCCAGGAGGCTGAGGCTGCGGTAAGCTGTGATTGTGCCACTGTTCTCCAGTCTGGGCAAAAGAGTAGGACCCCAACTCAAAAAAGTAAAAATAAATACAAATAAAATGATAACTACTGTTATATGTACTTTACTAAAGCAAAAAGAGAAAAGTCATGAGGTAGAGTCTGCCTGCACCCTGGGAGAGGTCAGCACCATGCCCCACCACAGTCCGAGCTCTGAGTCAACAACACACTCATTGGAAATGAGATGCTTCTCCCCCAAACTTCCTCCCCAACTAAACCCTTTATACAGACACTCACCCTCAATGCAAATACCACATTAAAAAGAATCATGGTAGGTGCTTCCCTCTTCGGGGAAGGATCTGTTTTGGAGACCTGTAAAAGAGGCATAATTCTAATAAATTGAGAGCCAAGGAAAGTTGTTTAGAGATGTTACTTCAGGCATGAGAAAACGACCTAGACTATAGTCCAAGGTCTTTGAAAAGTAATGAGTGCCTTTGCAAAATGATGAGCACTTTGTTCTGGAGGTGTGCCCACTGCACAGACAGATAGTTGCAGCTGTGATGAAAGTGGGAAGGTCACCGCTTCCCACTTTTAACAGAAGTGAGCTGACAACACCCAGAGGTCTCAAATGGGTGAAGGACTCAGACTCACACCCCTGCTGCCCCATGTCCACCTGCATTCACCCGGGCTATCTCTGCCAGGTACGACAAGTGCTCAGAACAACTTAAGAGACAGGACAATGCTCAGGGCCAGCAAAGGCCTGAGCAGGCCCCAGGTGGGGCAGGGCAGCTGGGCTTACTCCATAACCAAGTCTTTTTTTCTGTGCTCCTTGCTCTAGCATCCAACCAGCTTCAGTCACAATCACTGAGGCACTCAGAAGTGCTCCAAGGGGCACCAAGTTCTTCAACAACAACTACAAGTGCTACCACCAGGGGGAGTTGGAGTCTTGGGCCACCCCAGCACAGTCCCCACCCCTGCCAGCTGCTGGTTCCCTCCATCACTCATGGGCAAGGGACTGAGCCCTGGCTATGAGGGCCCTGATAAGAAGGGAGGGTGCCATCCACTGGGCCAGACATATCTAAACTTCACGGATGTTTGCGAGTCTCATTACAGAACCTATTTCTGGATCTGTATAAATGCAGGTAAATCCCATGTGTCACTCTGAACTCTTCAGAATCGAGTGATGCTGTTGCTGATCTTCCCTGTATGCAGAGCTGACTGGCAAGCTCTGACATACAAGTTCCCTTGAGTAACACTGCATCCCATCTTGCTAACACTCCTCAGTGCTGTGACCCTCATTCATCAGAGAACACATACAGAGGGCTTCGCACAATAACAAATGATTAATAATAAAAGCATTGGCTATTAGAATATCACTTAATGAGTAAGAATAAATGCTTGCTCCATGTTGTAGGAAAGTTGAAGGGTTTGACAGAGGCTGATTAAATAATTCTCTGGACTTCCCCTGGAAACAGGCATCCCATATATAAAGGGAAAGGTCACAATCAAGAGAGACCCAGAATTCAAACGGCAAGAGCTGAGAGCAAGGACTGACACACCTAGGGGCAAGGACATCTATCTCTTTCTCCACTGGAATCCCAGGGCCTATGAAGAGGCACAGCTCATAGCAAGTGCCTGATCAGGTGTACTGCCCAATGGCTACTTCCACCAGAGCTGGTGTCAGCCTCAGTCCCGAGGCCCCCAGGGTCAGAATAGGCCAGGCCTGCCTACCCAGGAAGGCATAAAACCACACCTGCCCAGAGAGCCTCACCTGCTCAGGAAGAGTCATACCTACCCAGGGAGAACCCCACCTGCCCAGGGAGAGTCACATCTGCCTAGGAGGGCCATACCTGCCCAGGAAGGGCCATACCTGCCCAGGGAGGGCCACACTTGCCCAGGGAGAACCCCACCTGCCCAGGGAGGACCACACCTGCCCAGGGAGGGCCACACCTGCTCAGGGAGGGCCACACCTGCCCAGGGAGGGTCATACCTACTCAGGGAGAACTCCATCTGCCCAGGAAAAACTCCACCTTCCCAGGAAGGGCCACACCTGCCCAGGGAGGGTCATACCTGCCCCAAAGCATGCTGCAGCAATGTCGGGTGTCCAACAAACCGCACATTATCAATCTTCAGTTCAAATTTTTGGCCACACATCTCAGACTTGGTTGCCAGAATTGTTGCTAGAATAGCATCTGAAAATCTTAAAATTAAAAAAAGGTAGAATGAAAATAAGTTAACAAAATATCACAACACCATGTCCCACTGACACCAGAGGGAAAAGTCTCAGTAAATGGCAGCTTCATAGAATTGCTCTGTCCCCATTGCTGACAGGAACTTCTATCAGGTGTTCTTTTGAAACAATCGCTGAGGTTAGGGGTGTAAAATTACAAGGTAAAAGGCGTGAGAAGCACAGACTGAAGGTATATGCTGTCATTTCCTGGCATGTTCTATGAAATTCAGGAAAAACAAGTGTAGTTTGCTTTCAAAAGAAGGACCGGCTAAAGCTGGCACTACCCTGAGGAGCTGCTCTTTAAGGCACAAGGTGGGGGGCACTCTCCAAACTGTGCTCAGGTTTGTTGGGTTGTACCCCTCAATCCCTGGGACTCTGGCCCTACCCCCTCAGAGTCACGTAGAGGGCTAGGGATAGTGTTCAGTGATGTGTGCAGCATACTGACTACCTCCCTCACAGCATGGCTACCCAACCCTTCCATTAACCCTAACCCTTAAACTTTCTAATTTTCATTAGGGAAGAAACTTGTTGCAAGATGTGCAGACCCACTGTTATTACAGAGATTTCCAAACGGCACAATCACAGGGATGCACAGGACTATGGTGCCAGGGAGAAGTAGGAACAGCTGTAGTGTGGGTGCAAGCTCATCCCTTTCCAAAGTCATCTGTGCACTTATGTCTCCTTACTGGCAACCATGGTGCTTCCTGCCTGGGGGGATCCGGATAAGGAAGAGTTGCCTGCAGAGGGTGCGGTGGCTGGGTGCTGACTCTTATCTCAGAGCCCAGAGCTCTGAGGGCCTCCGCACTAGAAACACAAATGCACTGTGTCTGACCTGGACCTAGAAGGGAGAGAAGTATCATACTCATCTCTCCATCAGGAAAAGTATTTCTAATATCTGGATCAGGAGGGTATATTATCTTGGGGGAACACGGCTCCAGCTCCCTCAAGGCCATATTCTGCCCCTGGGCTGGCAGAACCATGCAGTCCTAGAAGAAACCATCAAGGACAGACACTCCAGAGTGTACTCTTGGTCATGCTTCTCTAGCGGAGGCCATCTCGATGAGGAGATGGAAGGAGATTAACATCATAACTTCCCCACTTTATGATGAAAAAGGAAGGTATGCTTCCAACCGCTATTGCAACTCAACTCTGTAACAGCAAATGACTTTTGGATAAAAAAGATTGAGAAAAGGGGCCACTTGTTCCAGGTGCCGTACACATAGCAGGGCTTATAAGAGGAGTCACCTGGAGTCAGCCTGGAGCAAAAGCCCAGCTTGCAGGACGAGTAGCTGTGTGATTCTTTCCAAGTCTCCCACAGGCCAGTGGGGGGGGGGCACCTAAAACTGCAGGGGCCTGGGGGGTTCTCACTGGTTTCCAGTTGTCGTCCAGAACTGGCATGACCCTCTAACCATCCTAGGCTGCCCTTGGCCCACAAACACACAAGATGCAGAGGATCTGATCAAAATGAGTTCCTTACCTCTCACACAGAGTGCAGTCAGACCTTCCAAAACCAATCTTGTCAGAGACATCCTGGGAAAATGCAGGACCCACAACCAAGTCCTTGGCCAGCTGTGGCGGGTCTCTCTTCTGGAATACTACTCTCTGGTGTGATTAAGCCAGAGGTGTAAGATTCCAGTGTCTCAGACCACAGACATCATATGCTTTCTTCAAAAACTCTGAACGGCTCACCCTGTCCTGTAACTCCCATCTGACGGACATGACAATGCTAAAGAAGAGTCTGGGGCATTAAAACCCACTAAACACTTCTGCTGTAGCAAATGACCCAATGCCAACATTTTACATCCTGTCTAAACAAACTGTCCCTCCACTCCGCCACCCAGTGACTCAGGGGACACAGAGATAACAGAAAAATAACCTCCATGACTCCATAAAGCTCCCTTGTTCCAAACCAAAAATCTCCACTAAAAACTTCTGCTCTGTCAAGAAGAACCACAGACATGACTGAGCCCCAGACCTCAGGTACCAGCTGAGGGACTGAAGTTAGTCTGGCTGTGGGATAGGCTCTGGGATTCTCGGAAGTAAGCAATGGTAGCCCAGTTCACATCTATAAACAACCAAATCCCAAGGCACCTTTGTGACAGCCAAATAAAGGGTTGTTTCCCCACTAGAGGCCAGGCTCTACAGCGACAGCCAACTGGAAAGCAGTATGCTGCTAAAGTTAAAAGTCACACTGCCTCAAATGGCTGTTCACGGAGGCCTCTCTGGGCAGCCAGCAGGGTGGTAGCTGGCCACTCTGCTTATCTGAGCAAATGTGGCCCACAAAGAAATCCACTCACCACAGCTAAATGCTATACACGTATGATGAAAAAAATGCTTGAGTGGCTTTACACATTATATAGTGTGTCTGGTGATATAATATACACAAAGACACATAGTTAGATCATGAGATTGAGGGTGGGGGTATAACTTATAAATAGCAAACTGAGCCACAAGCAAGTGGCAATACTTGGTTTTTGCTTCCAAAATTCATAAAAATCTTTTTTCTTGTTTTGATGATGAAAAACCTGATAAATGTACTGAAACACAATAAAGCAGCTGTTATAAAAACTACAAACTCCAGGAATAACTTGGAAATTCAAGAAAAACACATTTAGGAAGATGAACCAGCCCAACAGAAGATCCTAAAATTCCAGCCAGGACCTTCTATTCCTGCACAGTCATTCTGGAGTACAGCTTATTCTCTAGTTTGGTCAAAAAAGAAGGAGAGGGTCGTCTGAAAGGCAACTCAACTCTGCTCCCCCTACCTGCCTTCTTGCTGGAGACCCACAGATGCTGTGTGTACCTCTAAGGCCCAGAGGAGATGCACTGCAAGGGGAATCGGAGAGTCCTATTCACCCAAGTCCTCCTGGACAAGCACCATGTCAACTCTGTGGGAATATTTTTGCCTCTACTGGTCACACCAATAGCATCTAAGCCTGAGCATCACACTTTAATGCCCAACCCTTGGGAAAGGTCTCCACTAAATCCCTCTGAAAAATAAAGACAGGGAGCAATAACCACAAGAAGCCCCTCCCATACTCACCCACCACACTAACAGGACTAGGACTACTTGGAAGAAGAAGAAGTTTGCAAGACATGCCTGGTCCCAGAAGTTTCCCTGGGTGCCAGCCAACCATGCCCTGGCCTCTCAGGTAATGCAAAGTAGCTAAATAACTGGGTGGAGAAAGGGTAGGGGCTGTGGAGAAGTCAGAGTACTTGTGGGGGGACTAGGGCAGTGAGGTCCAAGCCAGGGCCTGGGTGCCTCGTTAGTCATTCTTCAGCACTGGGGGAAATCAGGAATTAAGCACAAATCCAAGAGAAGCCTGCTGGAATTGAGACAGAAAGATGGTGGAAAGGTCTTGGCCTTACCCTGCAACTAATTGCTCATCAGTTGGAGGACACGGCTCACTGAGATAGGAACAGGACCATCAAGACCAAACAAAAACATTGTTTTTTAAAAACCATACAAAGTTACAAGATTGTTCCAGAAAAACAGTATTAAAGGCTCCAGAAGTACCACCCTTAAGCATTAACTATTGAGCATCAAGACTAAACAACCTACCACACAAGAAAAAGGATTTGCACACTCCCCATGTTGAACACTTATCATGGGGTTTCCTCACTGACACTCAAATTCTCACACACACAGGCTGGGCAAGAATGACAGCCACTTTTCTGAAGCAAGCACAAGACTGGAAGACCTGGATCACAGCAGGTATGTATTAGCTGCTGTGCATAGGTATATGCACAAGAATCTCATCCTTCCAAGAATAGGTTTCTCGTCTGTATAATGAGACATCATCTGCATGGGATCAAGTAAGACCCCACAGGCAAAACCCTTCTGAAAACTGTGGCATGTCAAATGAACTTCACCAACCCCAGACCTTGAGATGGTATGACCGTCTGCACAGCTGACCTCCCTGAGCCTCTGCCTGGAGTAATGAGGCAGTCATGGCGGATCCATATATTCTTGTCAGGAAACACCTGGACTTCTGCACTATCCGACTTGAGTTTTTTAGAAAGAGTTCAAGAATTTATGTTTTTCTGCAGAGATGTTTGTTCTGGGATAAGCTTTTTTCCATGTTTCCTGAAAAGAGAAAGGAAACCTGAACTTGGGAGTGGCAACAGTGTGGGAACCCTGCCATGACACACTGTCAAAGACGTATGCAAGGGAAACACAAAACACAAAACGAGGGACCCCTTTCCTCAGTAGCTCCCAACTTTTAGTTCATCAGGGTGTATAGCATGAAAGGGTTAAGATGTCTCGTGGACTTTCCCAAGATCACCCATAGTCAGAATCCCAGAAGCTTGAGTCTGACAGGGCCTATATCTCCCACAACTAAACAAGTCACAACGCAACCTTTTGTCCCAGAGAGAAAGGAGCAAATACACAGGGCTTCCAAGTACTGGCAATATTCTGTTTCCTGACAGAAGCATTTTACAGACTTGTGTCTGTCCCTCTGAGGGAGGCAGGGACATCAGCAAACACTCACCGAAACACAGATGTTCCTATAACATCTGGATCTGGGAGGGAGAGGTGGAGGTAACTCGCCACCCTCAGGCATCTTACAGTAGACAGTGAAACTAAGGCTCAGACAGAGGATTGTGCCCAAGATCATACACTGCAGGATGCAAAGTGAGAGTAACACTTGGAGCCATGAGCCTGCACGTGTCCTTGCATGATGCCCTATAGTGCAGACACAATGGCTGGGCCAGAGGGTGGGGTGGAGAATGCTCACGCTTGGGGACAAAACTGCCTAACCACTTTCTTGTGTATCCCTCTCAGCTGCAGAAAGGAGGGGGCATCTTCCTAACATATCAATGCAAGGCTCTAGAGACACATGATAGTATAAGCAAAGTTGTCAAGAGAGGTCCTGTCAGAATCCCACATGTGCCAGGCAGGAAAGCCTGCATGCTGTGAACCAAGAGTGCCTTCCTAGCCTAAGGGCCCAGCTGCACCTGCACGCTGGATCCAATGCTGCAGGAAACGTGGCCAAGCCAATGACAGCAGCAGCACCACCAAATTCTACAGGCCTACAAGGTCATCTAACAGTTCAAGGGTAGAGTTGAAACTGGAAAGGTCTTCTGGATTGCGTCTAAGGCAAAATTATTTCAGAGCATTTTAACAATGAAAGAAATCAATCTTCTCCAAGCCTCTGGCTCCCCACTCTCTGACGCAGTGGCCAGAGTACTGCTTGTAATATTGGAGCAGGGCATGAAGGTGGCCAGAAGGTGGCTGAAGAGGCCAAAAGGTGGCTGTCCATGTAGGGAAGGGACATAACCCACGCCTACCTTTCTAATGGACACAGACTCTGTCAAACCACTCTTGATGGGTTTTGCCCCTACCAGTGTGGGGGACGCATGGTGCACCCCAGTTTTTTTTTTTTTTAGAAAGTAAGATTTATTAAAAAGACAGGAAAGCTGCCACAGTGGGAGGGGACCTAAGGGGGTTGTCTGCACCCCAGCTTCTGACACCCAACCAATAGGAACATTATAACCTGTCTGACCTTGAATTTCAAGTCTTAAAGACACTAGACAATATCTGTTTTCTTTTGTTTTAAAAGTAAATAAGTTAATTCCTAAGCCCTGAAACACATCTTGATGGTGTACCACATAACGGCCTGCTTTCTAAGCCAGTCCAACAGAACTTGCTACACTGTTGGAAATATGGGTGGGTAGCCACTAGTCCCATGCTATCATTGAGCACCTGAAAGGTAGCTAGTGCAACTGAGGAACTGAATTTACTTTTTAATTGCAGTTGATTTCAACTTAAATGGCCATGTTGGCCAATGTCTGCAACACTGGGTTACACAGCTCTACGTTCTCACTTCTCTGAGACAGGCCACCACCACTCAGAAGTCACTATGTAACCTGTCAACGCTATTTTAATCTGACAAACAGTCACATTCTGCTAGGTCCAGAATGAAAGAAGGTCTGAAAACAATAACCCAGGAAGACACAGATAATGTGTTTGACGCACCTTCACTTCCTTACTCCAGGAAGATGCTCTGAGCTATGATGGGGCAGAGCAGGGGCCTGCAGGCCTATGTAACAAAATAAAGCAAGAGGGGAATGGAGCCCCTAAAGTATTAAGCTGTATATAGAAAAGATGGGACATGGGCAATGAGACCAACTGATGTATGATGTGCTAAAATGACTAATGTAAGCAAGCCTTAAATTTAATAAAAGCAATTATAGAAAGAATCCCTCCCCCCCACCCCATCCTCCTCCTCTTCCTTCTTCTAAGTTGGAGTCTCACTCTATCACCCAGGCTGGAGTGCAGTGGCACACTCACAGCCACCGCTGCCTCAATCTGCTGGACTCAGGTGATCCTGCCACCTCAGCCTTCCAGGTAGCCAGAACTACAGGAGCGCCAAGTTGCCCAGGCTGGTCTTATTTATACCCATGGGCTCAGGCAATCCACTTGCCTCAGCCTCCCAAAGTGCTGGGATTACAGGCTGAGCCACCAAGCCTGGCTTCCTTCTCCTTTATGTTAAATAATTCACCAGAAAACATTCTCTTAGTCATTTCATAAGTCTCTATAAATTCCCTGCATGAAGTGGGTGATGCCAGCCTTCCCTCCAAGTCTCTGGGAGCCTAAACCCCATGAGCACTGAAGCTTGGATTAAGGAGAATGTGGAAGGTAGGCAGCAGCCAGCCCTTCTCTAAGCTGACCTGTGGTACAGGTGGAGGGAAGACACATCTGTCCAGTATGCAGGGGCAAAAGTTTTCTATGTACTTGTGAAAAGCAAGAGTTTGTTCCAAGCCATCACCTTTAAAGGGAAGACAGCTAAAGGCCTCTATATCAAGATCAGCCCCCAAGATGTAAAAAATAAAATAAAATAAGTCTCTCACCACCCCCACCTGCTGGTTCCTCTTCCAAAGCCCACTCCTCTCAGAGACAGTCACCAGTCATGCCAGAGACCCCAACAGTCTCCCAAAATAAGATAAAAATTGCACTCTTAGAACTGCAATTGTTGTGGAAGGTATGATGCCTTGTCAGAAAACTGGAGAGAAACAGTACTAACTCATCACACAGCAAAGGCCCAGAATGGGTATCTCAGATACTTCCTCCTGGCAAGGTCCCTTACCCCAGGCAGGTCAGTCTGTGTTTAGGGGGACCCAGGGCAGGTAGCTTCCAATCTTCCTTCCTTCGCTTGGGTTGTTACCTCCACTAAGCCTTAAAATGAACATAAAAAGTGGTCATTTCTGAAGTATGTACCCTGATAGCACCTCCCAGAGAAAGCAGGGGGTGCAAACACAGGAAGGAACAGGACCCACCTTTCATCTGTGTCAAGGGTCATACCACCTGAGCTCTCGGCCCAAACACCCATATCATCTCTGGAGCCTGGCCACCTACGAAGAGACCTAGCCAGGTTGTGGTATACCCAAGCACCTGCATTTGACCCCTGGGTATATGCTCAAGAAAACAGATTCAAGGACAATACAGGGGTCTGTTTTCCTCTATGCTCCCCTCATAGGAGCTAAATGCCCCACATGGACATGGCCTCATCTGTTCTAGATCTGCTTTATCAACACACAGCCCAGAGCTGGAACATGTGCCCAAATTACTCAGCAAGCCAGAGACTGGCAACGTGATCCTCAGCTCTGCTCTACTTGAAAGCACCCATTAAATGGAGAAAAAGGACACTGGATTTTCAGGAGAGAAAACATCTGAGTCAACAAGAGGGTAGGGCTTTGCCCAGGCATAAGACCAGGATGAGCACCCCTGGAGTGACCACAGAGCCCTTACCTAGAGTCGCCATCCTGGTCATCAGCATGCTCTCCCGTGTTGTTAACAGCATATCTGCTACGTGGCTTATCTGAATAAAGGCAAAAGGGGGAGAAGGGGTAAGAAAGCAGGATCCTACCACATACAAGAGGATTATGGAGCTGTTAAAATTCATGCTTTCCAAACCATGGTCCATTCATACAATGGAATATTATTCAGACATAAAAGGAATGAATATGTATGAATTCTAAAAACATACTGAATGAAATTAGCCAGACATAAAAGGACAAACTGTGTACATATAGTACATGAAATGTCTGGAAAAAGTAAATTTATCAAGATAGAAAGTAGAGTAGGAGGGTAGCAGAGGTTGGAGTTATTGGTTAATGGTTACAGAGTTTCAGTTGGGTGATTTAAAAAAGTTTTAAAATAGACAGTGGTGGCCGGGCATGGTGGCTCAATCCTGTAATCGCAGCACTTTGGGAAGCCGAGGTGAAGGAACTGCCTGAACCCATGGGCTCAAGAACAACCTGGGCAACTTGGCAAGACTTCATCTCTACAATAAATCAAAAAATTAGCTGAGCATGGTAGCGCTACTTGGAAGGCTGAGGCGGAAGGATCGCCTGAGCCCAGCAGGTCAACACCAGGGTGTCTGTGAGCATGCCACTGCACTCTAGTCTGGGTGATGGAGTGAGACTCCAACTCAAAAAAAAAAAAAAAAAAGGAAATAGTGGTGATGGCTACAAAATACAATGACCATAACAAATGCCTTTCAATTATACACTAAAAATGGTTAAAATGTCAAATTTTACTATATATATTTGCCATAATTAAAAATTTTTCACAAAAGCAATGGTTTCCAAGAAGCTATGACAACATAGGAAAATGCTTTTGCTACTATGTTTTTATTAAAAAGGATTTACAGCCGGGCTCAGTGGCTCAGCCTGTAATCCCGCGCCTTTGGAAGGCTGAAGTGAGTGGATGCCCGAGCCCACGGGTTCGAGACCCACCTGGGCAGGCAAGACCTCATTTCTACAATAAAATAAAAAAAATTAGCCAGGCGTGGTAGTGCACGCCTGTAATTCCAGCTACTCGGAAGGCTGAGGCGGAAGGATCACCGGAGCCCAGCATGTCGAGGCTACGGTGGCCGGGAGCAGCCACCGCACTCCAGTCTGGGTGACAGAGTGAGACTCCAACTCAAAAAAATAAAAAAATAAAAAGGATTTACTGGCCAGGCTCAGTGGCACAGCCTGTAATTCCAGCACTTTGGGAGGCCGAGGAGAGAGGATTGCCTGAGCCCACAGGTTCGAGATCCGCCCGGGCAACTTGGCGAGATCTCGTCTCTACAAGTCAAAAACTAGCTGGGTGTGGTAGCCTGTAGTTCCGGCTACTTGGAAAGCTGAGGCTGCGGTGACCAGGAGCGTGCCACTGCACGCCAGTCTGGGCGACAGAGTGAAACTCCAACTCAAAAAAAAAAAAAAAAGGATTTACAAGCATACCTCAGAGATATTACAGTTTTAGTTCCAGGCCACCACAACAAAATGAATATTACACTGAAGTGAATCACACAAATTTTTTGGTTTTCCGGTGCACATAAAAGTCATGTTTAAGCCGGGCTTGGTGGCTCAGCCTGTAATCCCAGTGCTTTGGGAGGCTGAGGTGAGTGGATTGCCTGAGTCCGCGGGTTCAAGACCCTCCCAGGCAACTTGGCGAGCCCTCATCTCTACAATAAATCAAAAAATTAGCCGGGCATGGTAGCACATGCCTATAGTTCCAGCTACTTGGAAGGTTGGGCGGAAGGGTCGCCAGAGCCCAGCAGGCCAAGGCTGCGGTGGCCAGGAGTGTGCCACTACACTCAAGTCTGGGTGACAGAGTGAGACTCCAACTCAAAAAAAAAAAAAAAGTTATGTTTATACTGTAGTCTATTAAGTATGCAACAGTATTGTGTCTTAAAAAAAACACTGTAGGCCAGGCTTGGTGGCTCAGCTTGTAATCCCAGCATTCTGGGAGGCTGAGGAAAGTGGATTGCCTGAGTCCGTGGGTTCCAGACCCACCCGGGCAACTTGGTGAGAACTTGTCTCTACAATAAACCAAAAATTAGCCAGGCATGGTAATGTGTGCCTGTAGTTCCGGCTACTTGGAAGGCTGAGGCGGAAGGATCGCAGAGCCCAGTAGGTCGAGGCTACATGGCCACGAACATGCCACTGCCCTCCAGTCTGGGTGACAGAGTAAGACTCTAACTCAAAACAAAACAAAACACCGTACATATCTTCATTTAAAAATACTTTATTGCTGAGCTCGGTGGCTCAGCCTGTAATCCCACGCCTTTGGGAGGCTGAGGTGAATGGACTGCCTGAGCCCGTTGGTTCAAGACCTGCCTGGGCAACTTGGTGAGACCTCATCTCTACAATAAATCAAAATGAGCTGGGCGTGGTAACGCGTGCCTGTAGTTCCGGCTACTTGGAAGGCTAAGGCAGAAGGATCGCCGGAG